ACTGTTTTCCAGTAATCGTATGCCTCTTTTTCTCGACTAACAACAATCAAGGAACTGTGCCAATGAACAATCAGAATATTCCGAACAAAATGCCGAATTTAACCATCATCTACCCTTCTCCTCCCAGTGTAAGTTCTGGATCGATCTCGGCAGTTCAAGGAACGTCTACCCAATTGAGTGAACAAGAAAGGAACAGAAAGGTGAGCTTCGAATTTGTGATAAGTTTCCTCTGAACATTGTCAATTTTTCAATGTTTGAATAAAGATTCTAAAAGATTGCTTCCTTATTTTCTGGTTAAAAAGAGACGACTGGCGCGACAACGACGCTTGGAAATCGATAACCTCATCAAGAATATATATGATCATGTTTTCGAGATGTCTGGTGAAGTAAGTCCTCTTCTAACATGTAATGGTAACAGTATTTTGTACAGACCTCAGTCTCCCCCTCCCACTCCCCCCCCTTCCCTCCACTTTAATCCAAGTTGAACTTGGGATTGTAGAATTAATTGACAACGAGGTTATGTTTATTTCACACATCTCTCCCCCCCCCATAAAATACGTTTTTGTGTGTTTCAGAAATCTCCAAAAACTGATACATGTGATATGATGGAAGACATTCAAAAAGCGATGGAATCCCTACTCAAGAATGTGATGGAAGATCCGGATTTGAGAGCGAGAGTTCTACCACCTGGTTTACTAACACCTAAAGTTACTGAGACAAACACTCGTGTAGAGAATGCTGCAGTAACTCCTATGAGGGAAGAAAAGAAAGAAGTGGAAGGAAAAGTGGTAGGAGAAGGAGAAGAAGTGAAGAATGTACCATCAGGATTGAATGAAGTCCCACCTTCTCTTGTTTCTCCCATTCCATCTTCTATCAAAACTACCTCGACACCAGTGGAAGGTAGTGGAAAGAGAATGGATAGTACAGACGGTGGTCTTGAGCAGACACTTCCTTCTTTTTCTGCCAATGACCCCAACCAATCCACCTCATTGCCTCATGAACCTTCATCATCCGAATGATCCAGATTGTCTCCTGCTCCTCAGATTTGGCAACCTTACCTTTAGTGGGTGGTCTTTGTATTTTGTACGAATTGTAATCATTCTTGCAAATTCGACACCTATTTTGACAATAAAAGGATCTGACCTATGGAGGATTTCGGGCTTACCTGATCTGTCTCATTAAACGAACCCTGTACTAACTGCTCAAATAAAATTTTATTCATAGGAAATAAATCTCGGCTTTTTTGATTAGTTTATTGTTGGATCTCAATAGGTAGCTGTTATTTTATCCATGTGGTGGGAAAATTTTTATTTGTTTAAATCCTAGCATATTTGGTAGTTGGCTGGAATACTGGCAACTACAAATCTTGAGCACTTCTTTCAATGGTTAAACCGGCTAATCGCACGAGTTTAAATCGATCTTTCTGATGACCCTCAAACCTTTTGACCACTTGACGGAAAGCTCATAGTCCATAATGCGCATTTTAAAACATTTGACCCCAACCTTATCCAGAGGGAGGTAAGAGGAGCTAATTGAGTAGATGTTTTTTTAATTAATTATTCCGAAAGGATAAGCGTGTTAATGAGCGGAAAACAATTTGACAGGGAAAAAAATCGGTATTTCAATAATCTTATCTGAGGTTTCTAAAACTAAAGTTTGACATTCCGATTTGACCCAAACATGGGATGACGCAAGGCTCAAGCAATGGGAAATATTTACCAAAATATTGTGCAGTCCACTAATTGAGTCATCATCCTCTCAAGATAATGTGTTTGAAGATATCAAATTGATTAAATCTCCCCATATTTGCTTATCGACTGCCCAAATTCTCTTCCATTCTAAATGATCGAGTGTGGAGAGAAATGCCAGGCACTATATCCATATTGGTAGTTGCACGAAAGACTTACCTCCACGAGGTGCACCCTGGCAACACATACATATACGCCATCAAGCTGCCATGACTAGACTGTATGTCATATTCCATCACTAATACAGTACTCAGCTCATCCTTTCTCTACCTTTGTGTCTGGCATCATCGCATCTGTGAATCACTCTTCTGTCCCCCCCCCATCCTCCTCGACTTTTTGTGACATTGATGTTTCTCCTATCTATTTGAAGCCAGAAGTCAATTAAAGGGCTAATGATAACTCTCATAAAGCCCTCCATTTGATATTAAAAGGTAAATAATTATCCATTTTGGTAATATTCTGGGAGCACCTCATAGATTACTGATTGGATATCAAATAATGAAAATCGGCTTCAATGGGATTCTGGAGCTTTAGAACGGTTGGATCTTTCCAAGTATTTGGGGAATCGAGGTGATGAAAAGAGTCGATTGATGGAATTAGAAGAAGATTACTCAAAGTGCACTTGAACATCTCTCGCTACTGGCACATAACGATTTTGAGTGGCTATTTTTCGAGTAATGAGAGAAATCAGGATCGAGATATTTTTAAAGTAAATATAAATATAATTTCTGGTTGCCCATAGCTTCAGTCTTCATTTCCACTTCTAAACACGGTATTTTTTCTCGGAAGAGAACAGTTATTTGAAAATTCAAGCCTTATTTCTTCCTTGTCCATAAAATTGGCAACTGTGCAAATTATAA